CTTTGACATTAATGTCATCATTATTAAAATTAGTTTGAATTAGGGCTAGAATTTTAAATAACATTTTAAGCTGATTCTGAGCGAAATTGCCTAGTTAAGAGCATGCACAAATATGCCAATTAAAAGAAAGATACCACAGGCTCTGTTCCATGCAAAAAATGGCTCAAAAACACCCCCACCCATTTTTATTGCGTTTTTTGAAACAAAATAATTATAATTGAATGGCTCTTTTAAAACATTCCCATATTATTATCAAAAAATAAATTACAATGACAATATCGATTCTGATTTAAGTGATCGGGTAGCCATGTACTCTTGTTAATATTTAGCTCTTAGTTTTAGCTCCATTGACGAATCAGAAACCAGCTTCCAAACATACACACCTTCATTGAATGTACTAGCTGCCAGTCTGTAAAGGAACATTAAATAATCTCATTCCCATGCCCTATAATTCCATACTCACGTTTCAGGACTGGGACTGACTATTCCTGATATCGGCCCTGCCCCTCCACCAATGTACTCGCTCAAAACAGAACCTACAAATGAATGACATAGAAATTATTACTAATAAATAACTAACAAAAATTAATGTCCTGCATTTGGTACTTATGCAAGCAAAATTACGCATATGAGTTTCCAAATAAACTTTGCAATTGGGTAGAGCTGCATGCATAAATTAGAACTAATTCTTTATATTAAGAATAGCTCCACCCAACAGCAGAAAACAGTTAATTATTCAAGATACATACCTCCAGTTGTTGTACTCCATATCTTGACAGTGCTGTCGCTGGAACAGGAAGCAACTCTAAAAAATAAATGAGAAGATTAAAAGTATAATGATACTCGGAAAAAAATAATGAAAATAAAAAATGGATATAAAAACTGAGAGAGCAGTGAGTTCATGTTAAGTCAATAACAAATCACTAACAGTTTGTCGTTGGACGAGTCGTTATCAAGGAAGAGGCAGCCGTTTACACTTCCCTTGTGACCAACCATTTCTTTAAGTGGGCCCTTACTCAGTACTCTCCTGTCCCATAGCTAGAGGGGGAGAGAGAGAGAGAGGGGGGGGAGAGAGAGGAAGGGAGAGAGAGAGGGGGAGAGACAATTTTAATTGTGACAAGTAAATTACTGTTAATACCATATAGCTGGAAAGCTTCGTGGCCAAGAACTTTCGTGGTTTTCGTGGTTTGGAATGACACCACAAAATTAAAAACCACGAAATTAAAAACCATGAAATATTTGCAGGTTGATGAGAGTTGTGGATGCTTCACTGATGATCCACGGAAATAAAAACCACAAATAGACTGGGAGCCACCAAACCACAAAAGTTTTTTGCCACGAAACTTTCTGGCTATATCTATATGGTATCTCACTCGGTGCTAATAATGTGAATAATTAATAAGCGAAATTTCCATAATGTTAAACCACTCATTTCTTACTGTTAGTTCAGCCCCTTCTCCTTGTCCATGCCCTCCACTCCCTCCAAGCAAATAGTATCCATTAGGATCTGATGCACAACATAACTAAAGAATGAGAGTGATAGAGAGAGAGAGGAGAAGGGAAAAAAAGAGAGAAGGAGGGAGAAATGAATACAAAAAGAAAAGGGAAACATGCTGTCTCTTATTTTAAAGAAACCAGGTATTTTTTTTAGCTATGCACAATAGTCAAGGTGTGACATCATTTTTAATAATTATACCGTAACTATTATCATGAGACCATCCTTAATTATAAAGCAAAACACACAAAACACAACAAACAGCACCTGCCACCATTCCTATACTTCCCGCCCACTTATAAACCGACCACATGCGTGTACGTGTA